TGTGCAGTCTCTGTGTGTGTGTGTTCAGCAGTCTCTGTGTGTGTGTGTGTGTGTGTGTGTTCAGCAGTGTGTGTATCAGCAGTGTGTGTATCAGCAGTGTGTGTGCCTGTATTCAGCAGTGTGTGTGCATGTATTCAGCAGTCTATATCTGCTGAATCTACTACTTTGCTCCTGCAGAGATCCCACCACACCACCCATTATATTCATTTTCAGGAACATTGTTTCAGGCTGCAGCCCCCCATGCATTTGCTAGTCCTCTCATGCTAGTGGCCTTAAGGGGTAATTGTCCCATGCCCTCCTTGCCAGTCCTCCCATGTCTGCCATAGATGTTAGAGTTTTATCTCTGAAAGGAAACCTCTCATTATGTTTCATGCTAACTACTTAATAATAACTAGTTCTGCAAATCTGTTGAAATAAAAATATCACTATTAATATTACATTCCAATTATATTCATATTCGATTTGCTGTGCTAATATTTTAAAACACAAAGGGATTGGTAGTGAAGTTGCTAAATATTAAAGTCAAATTTAAAGACATTAGCTGGTTTGTTTGCAGGAATAAGATGTAGCATCAATACTGTAAACTTACCACCAGGTATTAGAACGGACATTATCTGAGGATGAGTAAATGCAGGATGAGAAACATTACATTTCACATCTCTCCCACTGATTCCGTGTTCGCTGTATGTACTAATAACTGTCCAAGTATTGTCCGACTCCATTCCCCTTCTAGTAGTGACATTATCTGATTCCGGAATCCAGGAAATATCAGCTGCTGGATTCCCACCAACAGCCCGGCACTCAGGAGATCCATCTCGGTTTATCATCAGAGACACGGAAGGAGGAACTGGGAAAATAAATGGTGCGATAACTGAAACATTATCTAGATTGTGGTCCTACTGACAAAAGTCTGGCTTTGGAAATTGAATGTGTTTTATCTGAGGACTTATCTGATTTCATATTTTTATTTTTCTAGTTTTGCTAGATACAGTTATATGTGATATATCAGTGATTCATCACAGCAGGTGACTTTCTTCCATTCCTCCATTGTCCAGTTCTGACACTCACATCTCCATTGAAGGTACTATGGTAGTGAACAGAGGTAATCATGGGCACTCTGACCAATGAAGCAACGCACTCCCATTCCTGTTTCCAACACATGACATTTAAAAACTGACTGTTACCTTGCTCCCTAATATATTCCATTCCTTTCACTTCACCTATCAGTAGTTTTAATGTTGTGGCTGCAAAATATACTATGTATGTATATATATATATATAACAGGGTTTAACAATGTAAGAGGGTATAACAATGTAACAGGGTATGACAGGGTTTAACAATGTAAGAGGGTATAACAGGGTATAACAGTGTAAGAGGGTATGACAGGGTTTAACAATGTAAGAGGGTATAACAATGTAAGAGGGTATGACAGGGTTTAACAATGTAAGAGGGTATACCAGGGTATAACAATGGAAGAGGGTATAACAATGTAAGAGGGTATAACAGGGTATAACAATGTAAGAGGGTATAACAATGTAAGAGGGTATAACAGGGTATAACAATGTAAGAGGGTATAACAGGGTATAACAATGTAAGAGGGTATAACAATGGAAGAGGGTATAACAATGTAAGAGGGTATAACAGGGTATAACAATGTAAGAGGGTATAACAATGGAAGAGGGTATAACAATGGAAGAGGGTATAACAGGGTATAACAATGTAAGAGGTTATGACAGGGTTTAACAATGTAAGAGGGTAAAACGGTATAACAATGTAAGATGGTATAACAGGGTATAACAATGGAAGAAGGTATGACAGTGTATAACAATGTAAGAGGGTATAACAATGTAAGAGGGTATAACAATGTAAGAGGGTATAACAGGGTATAACAATGGAAGAGGGTATAACAATGTAACAGGGTATGACAGGGTTTAACAATGTAAGAGGGTATAACAATGTAAGAGGGTATAACAGGGATTAACAATGTAAGAGGGTATAACAGGGTATAACAATGTAAGAGGGTATGACAGGGTTTAACAATGTAAGAGGGTATAACAGGGTATAACAGTGTAAGAGGGTATAACAGGGTATAACAATGTAAGAGGGTATAACAGGGTATAACAATGTAAGAGGGTATAACAGGGTATAACAGTGTAAGAGGGTATAACAATGTAAGAGGGTATAACAGGGTATAACAATGGAAGAGGGTATAACAATGTAAGAGGGTATAACAATGTAAGAGGATATAACAGGGTATAACAATGTAAGAGGGTATAACAATGTAGAGAGGTATAACAAATGTAGAGGGTATAACAATGTAGAGGGTATAACAGGGGTATAACAATGTAAGAGGGTATAACAGGGTATAACAATGGAAGAGGTATAACAATGTAGAGGTATAACAGAGGTACATAACAATGTAAGAAGAGGGTATAACAGGGTATAACAATGGGGGAAGGAAGGGGTATAACAATGTAAGAGGAACACTTAGAGGTTTAACAATGTAAGGGTATAACAATGTAACAGGGGTATGACAGGGGTTTAACAATGTAGAGGTATAACAGGGTATAACAATGGAAGAAGGTATGACAATTTATAACAATGTAAGAAGTATAACAATGTAGAGGGGTATAACAGGAGTATAACAATGTAAGAGGTATAACAGGGTATAACAATGTAAGAGGGTATAACAATGTAAGAGGGTATAACAGGGTATAACAATGTAAGAGGGTATAACAGGGTATAACAATGGAAGAGGGTATAACAATGTAAGAGGGTATAACAGGGTATAACAATGTAAGAGGGTATAACAGGGTATAACAATGGAAGAGGGTATAACAATGTAAGAGGGTATAACAGGGTTTAACAATGTAAGAGGGTATAACAATGTAACAGGGTATGACAGGGTTTAACAATGTAAGAGGGTATAACAGGGTATAACAATGGAAGAAGGTATGACAGTGTATAACAATGTAAGAGGGTATAACAATGTAAGAGGGTATAACAGAGTATAACAATGTAAGAGGGTATAACAATGTAAGAGGGTATAACAATGTAAGAGGGTATAACAATGTAAGAGGGTATAACAGGGTATAACAATGTAAGAGGGTATAACAGGGTATAACAATGGAAGAGGGTATAACAATGTAAGAGGGTATAACAGGGTATAACAATGTAAGAGGGTATAACAATGTAAGAGGGTATAACAGGGTATAACAATGTAAGAGGGTATAACAGGGTATAACAATGTAAGAGGGTATAACAGGGTATAACAATGTAAGAGGGTATAACAGGGTATAACAATGGAAGAGGGTATAACAGGGTATAACAATGTAAGAGGGTATAACAATGTAAGAGGGTATAACAGGGTATAACAATGTAAGAGGGTATAACAGGGTATAACAATGTAAGAGGGTATAACAGGGTTTAACAATGTAAGAGGGTATAACAATGGAAGAGGGTATAACAATGTAAGAGGGTATAACAGGGTATAACAATGTAAGAGGGTATAACAGGGTATAACAATGTAAGAGGGTATAACAGGGTTTAACAATGTAAGAGGGTATAACAATGGAAGAGGGTATAACAATGTAAGAGGGTATAACAGGGTATAACAATGTAAGAGGGTATAACAGGGTATAACAATGTAAGAGGGTATAACAGGGTTTAACAATGTAAGAGGGTATAACAATGGAAGAGGGTATAACAATGTAAGAGGGTATAACAGGGTATAACAATGTAAGAGGGTATAACAGGGTATAACAATGTAAGAGGGTATAACAGGGTTTAACAATGTAACAGGGTATAACAATGGAAGAGGGTATAACAGGGTATAACAATGTAAGAAGGTATAACAATACCCAATCCAATCAAAGAAGAGCACAATCTATATAACGTGCAAGCATGGCAATCCATTCCTTTTTATTTGGCTGCCACGTCCAACCAGATAACTGGTTAACTAAAATTCTACTACAGAAAGAATCCCAATGGATGTTTGCATTCAAGACCCTAGCTCCACGAGGCTTGAATGAGGAATTCAACTATACTCTATTTATACATCGATAATTAGGCAAAAATAACTTAATTTTATCGCGCATTTGATAATTATCTCTATGAATATGATGTTATGAGATTGCATTTATTACACTGGTGGGATTGTAAACTAGTTACATTATTATTATTTTTTCATAGTACTCATCGGTGTCATGATCCATAGTGACACTGCTATTGGTGATTTGTATTTATACAAATAACTTTTCCTAAGGTGTAACTTTATGACCATTACCTCATTTCTTATTTTATTTATTTCATTTGTTGTCCTATAAATCTTTATAAACCCTCTTTTCATCCCTATTCTAATTTTTCTACTGCGAGATTATTCGCTAGAAACACTTAGCTACCATGCCTGTTAGGTTTGAAATTGTCTGAATACACAAGCAACTTGCATTCAGCATATCTTTCTCTTTTTTGAGTCTACTCAGCCACCATATTGATACACACACCTCCTGTCCTCCAAATTGGACCAATAACGTCCGAAGGCGGTATATTAAATCTGAGCCATTGGGGGGAGTCATTTCCCCCTGACGAGCCTCTAAACCAGGCAAAAACGCGTGTCGGGCTGTGATACTGTTCTGACTTTTCTCTGATACTTACATTTGCATCTCCCGCTTCTCCGTTTTTGATATGGTCTAAAACCTTTCAGCCTAAGATAACTGAGTGGCCCCTCTAGGTACCTCTAAGACTACGCTAACCGATAATTTCGCTAGCCCTGTGGGAAGTATTTCCCCTTGACGGCATTGGCTCTGAGGTTTGGACCATATACCTTACATTAACCCAGTGATCATCTGGGGGACTCCTTGAGAGTTGGCTGATTATGAGCCCATCTTTAGCGTCAGGGAAGCAAAATACAGATCAGGGTAATTCTTATAGCTTAGCGATCGGTTACTACTAGTGATGTCCCGAACTGTTCGCCGAACGGTTCGCCCCGGACTCCAGTCAGCAGACACATTCCAGCCAATCAGCAGCAGACCCTCCCTCCCAGACCCTCCCACCTCCTGGACAGCTCACTAAGAATGCAGCTTCAAAATGGATGCTGTCCAGGAGGTGGGAGGGTCTGGGAGGGAGGGTCTGCTGCTGATTGGCTGGAATGTGTCTGCTGACTGGAGTCCACGGCGAACCGTTCACGGTGAACCGCCGCGAACCATTCGCGAACCGTTCGGCGAACAGTTCGGGACATCACTAGTTACTACACTTTATATTTTGAAGTAACTCTAGAGCCTCTTACTCTCTTTATGTAGACTCTCTTTGCACTTTACTGTTACCAGTGTCCACGAAGACACTATTCTCATTCCTCTTTATCTATCCGCATCTATTAGGTGCTTTCTAGTCTCCCATTATACATTTCTTAGTTCTCCTGTTCAGTATTACGAAGTGGCCAGACTCTGTCTGCACTGGACTAGTCTCTAGGTCCTCCATTCATAGTGTGTACTGTTATAACACTGCCTGCCGGCAAGACTTCTATTCTGAACGATCTGTTACTATTTATCCCTGTATACATTGTATCTATTAGTGACAAACTCGTGAAATACATCTAACAGGTTTATAACATTGAATTAGCTATTCTTTTTGTACATTTTAGCCAGTTTGGCTTATACCTGATTAGACTTTAGATCTTTTATACATAGTGCAACACCAGCTCAACTGTGCCGTGTGTTAAGCCTCTGACTTTAAACGAACGTTCACTAATTATCACAGTTTACATTGTACTTACCCAGTCATATACTCCTGCTACTTATGAAATAGCTGACGATATTGAGCCAGCTATTTACATTTCCTCAGTTTCTTTTTTCCTTTTGGAGTTTAGAGTCTCTAGTAGCTTAGCTTGTGATTCTGTGTTTTTACCATGATTTTGGAGACTGCTGGCATGAGCTTTACTCCAAATCATTTGTCTAGATTTTTGGGAAATTTATTGAGTACTGTATATATATATTTCCTTGTTTTTCCACTCCCCCTACCCCGTGTCCATATGCTCCTGCATATATATTTTTGTCTGAGTTAGACAGTTATATTTAATCTATTTACTGCTTTTTCTTTTGATATAAATAAAGTATCTTCGTGATTTTTATTAAATTGTCATTATAGGGACAGATCTCTTTTTGAAACAAGAAAGTAGACAATCTCGACAGAATATTTCATGAAAAACTGATAGTAAAAGTATTATTCAGAATATTATAACCAGTAATGCTGAAAGAAAATGTGTTAGTGAACAGTCAATGAGGAATACTGAAATAAAGTGGTGGGATAAAACTCACCTCCTGTCCTCCTGTCTTAATAGAATTGAGACTTTTTATTTAAAAAATTTAAAATGCTATTGAAGACAGGAGGCTCATCCTTTGCTAGCTGAAAACTGAACAAGTTGTTAAGAAGCAGGTCTAAGATAAAGTTGTTTAGAAGTGGACTCTACAGACCAATCAGATGTTTTGAGAATATCATGAAGATAACCTCCAGAAAGATATGTTTTGGTAGCCATAGCAGAACTCGAAAAGTGAGCTCCAAATGGGAAATTATCAATACCTGAAATGTACATGACAGAGTTTAACCTTCTAGCAATAGCAGAGGTCGGATATGGTTTATAAAAAGATATTAAAAGTTGCAAAGAATTTTATGATCTACAAGGATCTGATTTTAATTTAAATGATTTTAAACAATGGACAACACACAATTGTGGATTATGAGAAAAGCCTGGATAAGACACTGAAAACAAATTGGTTTTAGTGTGTCTCACCACCTGAAAGAACGCATTATCTGGAGAAAAATAGGTGTTATTAATATCCAGAGCTCTAACATATGAAACACATTTGAAAGAAATTAGACACAACCAGTATCCTCCCAAGATACTAGTAAAGTTAAAACCAAATTAACATGCCAAGTATAGAGATATCTGAGACAAGTAGGACATGTGCTATGGATACCTTTTTATAAGCTTGCAAATTAGGAGATGCTGTCCAATAGGTAAATTGTCAATAAAAGCACTCTTGGCAGAAATAACTACTCTATATACATTAATAGTGTGATAAGCCTTTCCTTAATAATAGCAGTAAGATAAAAAAAAAAATGCATGATTTTTGGAAGAACGCCAATTAGACCAAATTTTCCAACGGATTAATAATTGACTCTGGTACCCATGCTTTTGATAAGATGACCTGAGTTGATTGTGAAAATTCATTGTAGATGTTTGATTCCCTAAATGTCACATTTAAGTACCTCCTTAAATTCCCATCTGATGCTAAAGATTCATTGTCAAGTGATTATAGCCTTTCTTAGTGATTATAGCCTTTACCCAAACACTAGCCGAGACTTAGTGAAGGGGTAAAAATAACAAGGTTTATGGTGACACAACACACATATTTATAGGGACAATCACAAAGGGGGTCATTAAAAAGAACAATGCAAGCCCACCTTGGCGTCGCGATGTCTGGGACATAACTGGATCTGGGACAGGATAATATAATTAACTCCCAGTCACCCAAGCAACTTACAACATATTTCCCAAAACACAATATTTCTCACAAGTACCTCAACACTATGTACATCCCTGGACAAGGATAATTGCAAGGAACAAACCGTGCTCAAAACAAACAGTGCTCGGATTGGAGGTACACAGCCTGAGTAATCAATGGGTAAAGTTCAGTGGGATGCTGCAAACTTCCAATCCCACAGAGTTCCAGAAAGTCTTCATGTTAATGCTGGCCAGAAAGGGGTCCTTTTGGCTCAGTGGAAGGGGGCTCCTCCTAGTTTCTGGTGGTTCTACCTTCTACTTTCTCTTTAATTACCTCTCTACTGGGTGTTTGGGTTCAGAAGTGGTACAAGATGGTATGTGTACCTGGTAGCAGCCAGACTTCTGGCCGAGCAGAAATTCCAGATGGTCGCATGCACAGCACATATTACACGTATGCCTTGAAAGTAAAAATTGATGCTCTGCTCAGTGGGGGATAGAAGAACATAGGGAAGTGGAGGTATCAAGTGATGTAGCTCTTTTTAGAGGGAATTGCATTGAGTCCTGCAACAGTTGTCAGGTGGTGGCCAAGCCATAAAAATCTATTGATAATCCAAAACCAGGGGATGAAACACTCCTTTTCAATTCTTCAATAGGTCTTCACAGAGAGGAAGAATCCATGTAATTCCTAAAAATTTAATGGAGTTGTCAAAACCAGGATTGCAACCTGACATTCTAATTGAGATAACACTGGTAATCTTTGCAAATTGAGGAAAAGTTTGATGTCATCCTTTTGACCAATCTTCTATGAAGGCATCTGATTCCAGAGCTTCAGGATCCATACACCACCAAAAAAACTCCAGTAATTGGTGATGCAAAATGTTCAATGTTTACTAATGATGTTGACTTATTTTCAAACATTTAAGTTTGAGAGCACCTCGGAGATTGTGACCATAACGTTGTATCATTTAAGGTAAAATAAAAAATACAATCTCTTAATTTAAAAAAAGACTAAATTCATTAGGATAAAGGCATCTTTACAACCAATTGAAAGGCAGAAAATATTCAGTGGCAAAAGTACAGAGGATAAATGGAAGGTATTTAAACAAATTATACAAAAGTACTTTTCTCAATACATACCATTGGGAAACAAATTTTAAAAAGCTAATTAAAACCAATGTGGCTTAGTACAAGGGGCAGTAAAATGATATGAGAAAAGGGTATTTAAATAATTTAAATTAGAGGGGTCGATTGCACCTGACAACAAATATAAGCATCCCAATAGGGTTTGCAAAAGAGTGATTAAATTGGCTAAACTTGAAAATGAAAAGCTAATAGCCAAAGAGAGCAAGACCAACTGCCAGAAATATTTTAAGTACATCATTGCCAAAAAGGTTTAAAGTGTTCCATTGGAAGGTGAGATGGGTGATTTAATCAAGTTGGATCAGGACAAGGCAGAAATTCTAAATATTTTTCTACAGTTTGTAGCGAAGAAGAATCCATGGATGTAAATTGGAAATCCCTGTTACAAAAGCCTTACAACAAACTGGTGATTTGTTAGAATTTGGTAATCACACAGGAACTTGTGCAGGTGTGATTTATAGGCCCCCAGGACAAATTGAAGAGAAAGATAATCTACTAGCTGAGGAAATAGCTAAAATGACAATGAAGGGGGAAGTTATCATCATGGGTGACTTTAATCTTCCTGATGTAAATTGGAAAACCAAAACAGCTGCTTGTGCCAGAAGCACACATATTCTAAACTACCATGCGTATTTGTGATTGTGGTACATTGTGTATATTTTTTGTATGAGTATTGTGACATGAATGCTAAGGTTTTTTAGCATGCGTCTTTGAATATATGCTATTTTGGACCCACTTAATAAAGTGCTTTTTATGTATATGGTTGTGCTCCTCATTTATTATTATTTTTTTAATTTGGATTGCTCTCTGGAACCCCTGAATCTTCACTGTCTCTGTCGCTGAGGGAAAAAAGTGGTTCTGTTGTGTAACCAGAGAATTGTCTACTTCGATAAGAGAGGTAGAGGCCTCTGTTACACTGTCAATCTTGGAAATCTCTGCTGGAAGAGCAATCTCATCCTCTTCTGGCCTTCACAAAAAGTTTTGGATCAAAAACTTTCCTTAGCGACAGTTGAGCCTTATCCAAGGAGGAAAATATTCCTACAAATTTACTGATACTTTTAATAGTTTAAAGTTATTCCCAATCAATAGACCATCCAGTGAAGTTCCCTGTTTCTCAGAAGCCATCTGAAGAAGTAGGGGATCTCATTTTAGAAGAACAGTTTGTGTAATTTCAGAGGATAACACTACAAAGTGTGTCCCAATAGACAAACAGACTTTTTGGACGACAGACCATCATAAATGTATTTACGTTTTTTCGAACATTTGCGAGGAACAATAGTGTCCACATAATCCTTGGCAGACTCCATGGAAGACTAATATTTCTCAGAAAGAGATATTGGATGAGACTGACCTTTGAACTGAGATAAATCCAGAGGAAAATGATTTTTTAGAGTCTCTTGCATACAAACTGTAACAGATCACCTGGCACCCCGACTGGGTACCTCCGTTGAAGGATGCTCCTAGCACTTCCTGAGGACTCCAAGCACCGCAGCAGACACCAAAACCACTGAACCGTAG